GTGGAGCTGTGGTCTCTGCCTGTGGATCCAAGGGTCCCATGTTCGAATGCCACCGTTGGCCGAGATTTTTTTATTTAATTTAATTATTTAAAATTAATTCTGATGCGTTGGTAGGATTCTCCACTCGACCATTGAATCTAATTAACAGTGCTGTTCCTAAAGTGGCGCTGGGAAACAGTGACAAAGCCTACCCAGAACACGAGGCTAATGGCCTTAGTAGTCGATGTCGATGACATAAAATTAAAAAAAAATAATTCTGGACAATGCATTAAGTGGTGTTGTAACAAAATAAAAAGGGTAGCGTCGATTACAATTTACTAATAGTATATTTTAAAATTTTTGTAGTTGTCGATGTGTATTTTAAATCAATGATAATACCTATAATAAAAATTACATTTTTTTTTCTTTGATTTATGAAAGCAGATTCAACTGATAACACTTAACAGAATAAAAATACAAACCGCTGAAGTAATTACGAAAAGAAAACATAAATTATTTAAAAATATTTTTTCTACACCACCATGGATATTAGCTTATCTACGCACATATTACAAAACGAAAAAGTATGCTATTGCCTTCAACTGACCGAATATATTTCGTATCCGTTCTAGGTAGTAAGAACATGCAAAAAAATGAAATCCACCCTCACCGTTCATATTTTGATCAACCCACTGCTATTATTTTTAAAATTTTAAATAAGTGACAAGTCTGTCAAATTAATTGTCAGTATATTTTTTAGTAATTGAGATTAAACATGCATTAAAATGGGTTATTCTTGTGTAGAATCGATAAATAATAACATTTCTGTTTTTATTTCGTCTATAATTATAAATAATTTGTTAATTTAAATAAAACTATATGAAGTCAGTTTAATAACTAATATTAAAGCAACAAATATAAAAGAATAGGTGGTCCTATGGTCAGCGTTCTGGTCTTCCACGCGGAAGATTGGAGTTCGATTCTCGTATTGGGGGAAAGATAAAATTAACTTTTTTTTTTCGATTATTTTATTTTAAAAATTATTAAAAGTCATAAATTATTGTATAATTAGTTGTTTTGTCTTAATAACCTAAAATATATTTTTATTTGTAAATTTTCGTTAGTGGTTCGTAGAAAAAATATACTGTACAACTCGAGTGGATTGTCCATCATATCTACTCTTGTTGCACAAATTACTATTGCACCGTTGTAACAATGTGTAGTTATTCTATAGGATGAATTTAGGAGGGAAATTTAATCAAAAATGGTTTTTCAATCCCAATTTTCTTCTAAATGCTTAATTATAAGGATAAATCAATGTTTTCTTGTTAAAATAAACATGATTATTGTTTCGGCGTAAATAAGATTGAAAATTCCGATGCGTTGTTATAGTTCATTATGCCGTGATAATTTTTTTTATTGCTGAATTTTTTAATGAAAAACGCAGTTATGTATGTTGTTAAGCCTAGTGATGCCGCGAGACAAGACGAGACGAGAGAGTGGCCTCTCTCGTCTCGTAGGGCGAGAGAAAACTGTTCTCTCGTCTCGACGAGAAGGCACTTCTCTCGCTCGAGAGAGCCTTTCTCTCCTCTTGTCTCGTCTCGTTTTTCTCGTGATGAAACAATATCAAATTTAAATTTGAAAAAGACGAATCATGAAAAAACGGTAAAATTTGTAAGACAAAAACAAAGAATTTTTTAAGTAATTTGCGCATTAGTAACCAAATTGGCAATAAGAAACACTTGTCTCTCTGTCTGTCCGTCTGTCACAGTCGTTTTACAATTGAAATTTGAAGTAATAAGTGGCCCAGATTAGGCGTTAACTAAAAACGAAAATACTTTGTCTTGTAAGTCAGTTGGGGAGGGGGGGAAGAGGTTAAATTGGAAGTTAGAATTTTTCTCATGCAATCCTGCGATGTCAAATGAAAACATTTTGTAGTTTGTTTTCAAAATGCAAGAAGATAGAGACAAAACAAAAATGATGTGAAATTAGATACATATTATGATATTTTTGTTATAATGAGATGCACTTCACTTGAGACGTAAAATAGAGGGCGTTACTATCTTTAAATTTTCTAATGGAAAGTAAAGTCATATAATACCTCATTTGAAAAATGTTTTGATTATATTTACGTCCAAGCAAACAGTTTTAAATTTTTGTTTTTACAAAAATTACGTTCTTGATAATCCTCCTGTGCCGCAATAATCCTAGAAATGTTAGATAATGTTAGAAGAGAATTGTTTAATAAGCTTTTTTTGCTAAGAAGTTATGAAAAATTTAATACGTCAAGTGGTTTTTAAATCACCTTTGATATTCTTAAATCCCTCTAACAGTAAAAAATTACTTAAATTTATAAAAGATACTGACATTTACTTTATACTAGCCAAAATGTTAATTATCCATTGTATACTATTGTAAAAAACAGCATTTATAAGGCATTATACCTTCGGTAATGATCCTTAGAGGTTGAAGCGGTAAATAAAAAAAAAGAATTTAACCTACTTTATGAATGTATTTAATGTAATTTAAGTAAAAACATAAAAACCTATATCTGTTTACATGAACGTAAAAATATAGAAAATATTTTTCAAATGAGGTATCACATGCCCTACTTTCCATTAGAAAATTTAAAGCTAGTAACGCCCTCTATCTCACGTGTCTCAAGTAAAGTGCATCTCTTTATAACAAAAATATAATATCTCTTGAGTTTTACCTCGTTATTGTTTTTTCATTATCTTTTTTCATTTAGAAGTTAAAATAGAGGAGGGTACAATTTTCGTCCTCACTGTATATAATACATTCGTTTGTATTACCTTTTATTTGACAGTTTTTCGAAAAAACGTCTAAAAATTTTCACCTTATCTTCAAAAGTAACCTCAAAGAAGCAGAATGGATTAAATATAAGAAATGGTTGTATAAATTTTAAATAAATGAAATTTATAAAATCCTAATAACACAAATCATTTGTTAACTTTTTGACTATCTCAAAATCTAATGTTAAAATTTTAAGTTACGATAAGCAATTGAAAATTTCAAATAAGAAAAGAGAAAATTGTTCGAGAGAGCCCAAGAGATCTCGAGAGAAACGAGAAATTCTCGTCGAGAGATGACACTTTCTCGTCTCGTCTCGAATCTGTTTTCGAGAGACAATGTCTCTCTCGTCTCGTTCGAGACGAGACAAGACGAGACGAGAGACGAGAATCTCTCGTCTCGCGGCATCACTAGTTAAGCCTAATTTTTCTCATAAAGGAGCAACATTTTTTTTTAGATTGGTATAAAATTAGCCTAAAATGAGCTTAAAATAATGGCATATCCAGAATGTGAAAAATCCAAAGAAGCTCTGCTTGCTTAATACGTATTACTATACGTTATATTTTAAGCTGAAAATATTGTTTAATATCAGTAAAGCATTATTCTCGAAAAATATCTGTAATCTGTAATCATAGCAGTTTGTTAAGAGACAATCCCTTTTTAAAAAACTTAAAAGTTAAAAATAATTTTTCAAATAAGCTTAAAACAATAATACTAGTATTTTCCAAATAATATTGTTTTATGGTGAATACCAATAGTTCGAGATTCTCAATGCTAATCAATTTTATTTTTGTAAGGGACTGTACAAAACACATGTAAGCTTATATACATGGATATGTTATGATTTTAATAAAATCCATCTGGCAACCTTATAAATATAGGAATGGTTTGCTATAGAAATTTGTGACTTCCTCATATTAATTTTAAGGGTTTGTTTTGATTAAAACAGAACCGCTGATTCCAGTTCTCCAAGACAGTGGACGAATTAATTTTTCAAGAAAACGTCGCGAGGTTTTAACAACCTCTTAGCTGATCGAGTGTTATTTTAATACAACGCCTTGATTGCAGCGTATACAATGTTGCCAAGTTGTAATATTTTACGCAACTACGCGTCGATTGCTTTAAAAATATGTTTATTTTTTTATGTTTTATCTTTTTACTAAGACGGTCAAAAAATTCAGCGTTTCTTTAGAAAATTTTATAACTTTTTGATTTACATTACATTAGTTTTTAAAAAATATGGTAAGAACCGTTTTCGAGATATCTTGAAATGAATACATTACTTGTGTACATGAGAGGCTTCAAGAGTGTTAATTATACACATTTTGATTGTTAATATCTCGTTTCACAGACGGTCAAAAAATTTAATTTTTTTTAGTTACATAAAAGACACTTTCATTGACCATATATTTCAATTTTATTGAATTCTTAAGAAAAGCCGTTTTACGAGTGAACTACCTTAAGCTTATTTGAAAAATTATTTTTAACTTTTTAGTTTGATATGCTCTAAAAGCGTGTTTTTTAGTTTTTTTTAAACTATATTTATTTTTCACTTTTTAGTTCGAATTATAAAAGCGTGTTCTTTAGTTTTTTTTTTAAACTATATTTATTTTTTACTTTTTAGTTCGATTAATTATTAAAAATTCGATTAATTATTAAAAAAAAATTGTAAGTTAAAATTGCTAAAAAAAAAAAATATTTTTTCAGCCATGGTTAGAACCCACGATCGGTGAGTCTGGCAATCAAAAACCCGCGCCTTAGACCGCTAGGCCACGAACGAATTTGAGTTAGTTGGATATACTGACAGTTATAAGTCACTTGAGTCCAAAGGAGAGTTACAAACATACATACATACATACAGGTGAAGCTAATATAAGCGTGTTAAAAATGGTAAATTTGCAACTTAACGCACTTTACTCGTATATCAAAACCTAATAATAGGATTAAGTTGTGCCCATAAACACTATTCTTCAGAAGAAAACAACTGCAACAAATCGAACATTCAGAAAATTTCACAATGCTCATTTCTCCTATGAACACTATTACTCAACTTAATTAATTTTTAAAACTGATGGTGTCTCAAACTGACATTTTCAACACTAACAATACATTTAAAAAAGACTGCTTTTAAAATAATGCTTAATTATATAGTTACCTACCTATTCTAAGAAAAAATCTAATTTTGTACGAAAAATTTAAACAAAACTTACCAGTTCAACTTTGATAAATTGTAACTGTTTAATCTTAAACGTATCTACTATAAGTAAATCGTTATTATTTGGCAACTCCACAAGGCATATTAGGCAGTTTTTGGATAAAATTTCTTCCATTATAATATTAAACAAATTTCACCAACTACAGAATTTAATTCAAATCAAACTATTATTTTAAAAGTCACTTTGTCAAAAAAAGGGTTAGAATTATTTTGAAAGCAAAAACTATTGCCATGTCATTGACGGCGGTAATTTTCTTTTTAAAGAGGTACTACCTACCAACTTAAATTTATTCTACTGCAACTCGTACTCCATGTATTTAATTTATGAAATTTCTATTAGCTTGAAGCAGAAATTAGGAAACTAAGACCAGATACAGTTGTTACTGATCAAGATTACGATACTAGGCTAAAGAGTGGCAAAAGGAATATAAAGGTATTAAAAGACAGGCTTGAAAACGCTATTAAAAGATTTTGTGCTCTGTTGGCTGAAAATAAAAGGCTTAGAGAAGAAATCGACCATCTGCTAAAAGAGAGGTTCGTATTTTTCTTATATCATTTTTGCCTATCTTCAAATTAATTCATTTTTAATATGTTATTGCAATTTGTTTTATATTTTTTTGTTTGTTAGTGTTTTCGCAACAAAAGTTTTTTATACTAAGTTGCCTGGCATAGTCTGTATGCCTAGCCTATTTCACAGCAGCCATTCATATTTCTTCCATTCATTCCTATGCAAAATAATTTCTCAGGTTGCTAGTGGTCGAGTTTTAACTGGGCTTTTTATATTAAGTTCCAGCCGTTTGTGTTTTTGTTCAGGACCTACAGAGTTGTCTTCTGATCTTTGTTTTACAAGGTTACTACTGTAAATTTATTTCCTTCTACTCCATTATGTCCTACCTTATATTTCCAGTGTTTTTCAATAGTTTCATACCAGTAATTGTTTTTTAATGCTTGTTAGTTTTAAAATGCACAAAATGGATTGCACAGCCATAAAGCCATAAAGTATATCCAGTTCAAAATTACACGTTCATTTTGAGTCCAAAATTATCCTTAACAAACCTATTTAATTTGAACTGGTTGCTAACTGTGGTTTCCTTATCAAAGACATATTCTCTTAAGTCTTAGTTAATAATTATGTATATGCTTTGTCTTCTTTAGAGCTCGTTACAACGTAATTTGGGAGAAGATGCTGAAAGAGATGCAAATAAGAAAAAAATATATGATAGAATTGATAGAACAAGCAACAGTAGCCTTTGATCAAAGAGAAGAATGGTGTTCCAAACTTGCTGCGCTTAAAAAAAGGGCCCAGGGCGACTATCTGGCCCATACTGAGGTAAATAAATCTTCAGAAATATGGAGTATTCAAAGAATATTTTTTTATATTTTTAGAATTGGTTGACAAAATGTTTTTTATTTTTTCATTTTCTTTTTTAATTTCTTGTATTATTCTTTTTCAACTATTTTTCCCCTCTCTTTCTTGTGACATATATCTAAATACTTTTTAGGAAATGAGAGAAATTCAAAGAAAACTGGACCACGATTTTACATTAAGAGAATTTCTAAGCGTCAAGGGCCAAAAACGTGTGCTCAAAGATTTAGAGGAAAAGGACAAAAAGAAAAAAGAAAGTCAGGTCCAAAATCTGGAAAACCAAATTATTCAATTAGAAAATACTATGGATCAAATACAGGTAGATAAAATAGCTATTTGTTTATTAAGACCGGAAAGTGCTACTTTGTCGCTTAAGATAAAAAGTTGCCGCGCGACTAAAAGTATATAGTTTTATTTTGCCGAATTCAAATCTTACTACGTTATTTTGACAGACACGGCCAACTTAACTAGCAAACCAAAAGTATGTTGTGAATATTGTGTTGCCTGCTTACTTAGGATTAATTTTATGATACGCAAAAAAATATTTGTTAGTAACACATACTTTGATTTTCTTTTACTCTACGGAGAATGGTCGCACTGCGCAGCTTTCTGAGTGCCTTTTAAAAGGAGATAGAAAACTCCGCCATTTTGGACCCTTATTACGTGTTGCCTACATCTTGGCGCAATATTTTTAATAGGTGCGTTTTAATCATACGCTTCTGCTTCAGAATTGTCAGTTTTCTTGTTTTAATCTGACAGGTTGAAACGACTAAACCGACAATTCCGGAAGCAGAAGCGGATGATTAAAACGCACCTGATATTTTGCTTGCTGCTGTCAGTGTCAGTGAATATTATTTTTGAAATCACGGTTTATTGCTAAAGAATCAGTTAGCTCACTCGGACCAGTTGAAAGTTCCAAAATAACATCCACTCCAGTGATACAAATTCAGGATACGCAGAAGACTGCTGTTTTATTATAGGCGGTTATCATATATTGTATTATCCGAGTTGCATAGTGTATAAACTGAAACATTGAGATCCAAAGTGCCGACGCAGAGTGAGCGATCTGATTCTTTAGCTGTAAACTGTGTCACAGGGTTCAAAATGGCCGCGCCCTATGTTGGGCGTGTCGGACCTCTCTCTTGCCTCGTATAGTAATCAAAGTATGTGGTTAGTAAGTACATCTTAAAAATAACTTACAAGATCATCGTAAATTAATTGTAAAATTAATTAAAACAGTGTATGTCCACTGTTTTATTTAATTTTACAAACCAAAAATTAAATTAAAAAAAATAAATAATAACTGGTGAAGATTGAACTCACGACCATCAGATTCAAAGACAAACGCACTAGGCTCTACACCAACAAGACATATTAAATATGAGTGTTAAAAAGAGAGTAATTTATTTTTAATATTTTAAATGTCATTTAAATATGAAGGAAAATTAGTTTGGGTATGAAATGTTCAACTAAAAGATTCAGATTAGTCTACATTTTCTTTTAAAATACCGATTAGCTTTATAATAACAACCTTTCTAATGAAAATAGGCGTGTACACAATCTAAATTTCCGCCTATATGCGGCAATAATGTCAAACTATGACAATTCATGGAGAACGTCAACTTTCCAGTTAGATTTAAATGTGCAGAAGCCTACTTTGGATAGTGATCGTAGAAAAAATAATTATAGATATATTATAACAAACACCAACACAAATTACAGTGACCAGGGCATGATCATCGTTTGGTTCGTAGTTTCGGAGCCCGTCAAGATGGTAAAACGTATGAGTGGATTGTATGGATGGAATGTAAGAGTTGAGTGAATGGGAAGGAGTAGTGCATCCAAACAGTAGTACAATAAGCACATTGGACTACAGTACCTAAATAATCGAACGCCAGAGGAGGGAAGGAGGATGGCTGAAACTCAAGCCTCCTTGGTGGAAGCCTGGACCCCTCGAGGGAGAATTCAGTGTCTGAAAGAATTAAAAAAACAAGCATATAATATAGGTTAGATTAATGAATGATAACGAAGCAAATTATAAATATCACTATAGCCACTACGACATTTTTTCTACGATGCTTGAAATAAAAATTTTCTTACGAAATTTTCAAAACCATTTTTAGTATTTAAAAATGCTAAGTAACTCGCTTAGTAACTTTAAAATTATAATGAGGATAGTTTGAGCTTGTGGATTAGGTGAAAGTCACTCGGTGTTAAATCTGGCGAATATAATGTTTTAGGCAACTTAGAATTCGAGTTGATAAAATTTCCTGGTTGTAGCTACCAAAAAAGTATTGCTGGACTAATCGTTCAAATTATTTGTTTTTATTTTTGTTTTAGAAATTTTGTGGAGAGGATGATGTATCTAAAATAGCGACATTATATTTGAAACAAGAAGAAGAAAATTTCGCCCTGTTCAACTATGTGAATGAATTAAATCATGAAATAGAATTATTGGGCGAAGCTCTGAGTGAGATACAACAAAAAATAGGTTAGAATATTTTTTCCGATTTACTTATTTCATTATTTTTTATTTATTTATTTTTGAATGGGGTTTAAGGTAAATTTTCTTAAGGTTTATGTAATTTCAGATGAACAAATTGAGTTGGCCAAATTGAAAGCTCAAGAACGTCAAAAAACTTTGGATTTGTTAAAATCTGAATTAGAAACAGTAACAAAACAGGTAAACTTAATAAGTACCTAATAACAACAAGTACCAAATACTAATTGTTTTTATTTAGAGAATCGAAGATGAAGAACAAGTTAGACTAACAGAACTGAAGTTAACATCAGTATTACTTGGAATTGAAGAAGTATTTGACTTATTGAAGTGCGATAGAGGACCAATTTTAGGATTACTAGGTTAGTTAAAAGTGAAGTTAATGTGAAAGTTTAATTTTTATTTTCGATTTTATTTTCAGGTAATAATGCTGCCATAAACTTGTTTAATGTCAAAATCTATTTGGGAACAATTGAAAAGAAAATATCCGGATTAATAACCAGACTATATTTTGCAGAAAAAGCGGTAAATAATTTAGATACTTATGTGGTACATTAGTAATGACTAAAAAAAAAGGCCAAACAAGCTGTTTACAAACTAAATATCTAGTTTTTGAACTATTATTTTTTCATTTAAGTGATTTTAGGTATTCAAATATATTCCAAAAGTATAAGTAGATTACATTTTAGTTAAATAAGTGTCATTTTAAATTTTATTTCTATTTTTTCAACATTGTATTTATCTAAAACTCTAAAAGCATACCACTGCAATAAATAACTACAATAAAAATAAATTAGTTACTTTTAAACTACTTTTTTACGACCTTCCAACAATATACCGGGTGTTTTTGATAAAATTAAAGTTGGAATTTTGAATTTTTGAAACACTTTGGTAGTGATTAAATATTCGATCTACATATCGCACATTCCGAAGAAAATTTTGCTATTCTCACTTTTTTCTGATATGAATAGCAAATCTGGTACACTTACTCCGAAGAGGACTGTAAGTGTGTAATGGAAATGGAAAAGGCTGAAAGCGCCACAAAGTAAAATTTTCAGTATTCAATAAAAACTTCATAAAACTTATACTGTATTATTTAAAAATCTATAAAATTCATTAAAAATGCAAAATATATTTTTATTTGTTTTTCAAGAGTTGTTTTTTTATTGTACATATATATTTTGTATGTGAAAAGCTGAAAGTGCCATCATATTTTTTTTTGGGAAATGCTGTAAGTTCCATACCTTGTTAGTTAAAAGGCTGGAAGTCCAGCGCTCATTACACATAAAGGATGAATGTTCATAGTGGTTTAAAAAAATACAAATAAATATTACAAAAAATAAACTTATATTTTAAATAAAAAAGACTCACAATCATATACATATTGTCTCTTTCTTTCTTCTCTCCTATCCCCCACCTTCTCCTTCTAGTAGTCCTTTAGAAGTCGTCTTCTGCTTCCTCCTGATTGTTGTCTTCTTCTTGCTCCTCCACCGCAGGCTGCTGAGGTCCATGAACAATGGCCCTGTAAAATTACTTGTCTTCTTCTTTCTCCAGGTATTCTATCATTCCCTCTAAATCCTTTTTCTTTTCTTGAGATATCTTGCATTTGAACCTAATTTTTGGTAACTCATCCACATCGGCAAGGTGTTCAAGATTTGCATTTTTTTTAAAACATCTACCTTGTCCTAAGTTACCATATTATCACTTTCCTTTGCCAAAACTGATTCCACTTTTACAATACCAGGATTCTTGTGCGAAATACGAAAATGTGAAATTTTACTGATTCCAAGGTTTTTAGTGTTGAGGTACTTCTTAGCAAGCTCTTTGAAGTCAATAAAATCCTCAGATTTCATCTAAACAACAGTAAAGGGTTTTTTACACACGCAGTAGCAACAACATGTTCAAGATCTTTTGGGACCATTGCTTTGCATGTTTTGCGCCGCTTTTCAATGAGACCGAAGTTCCGGTCGCAGTTCATGTAACTATGTCCACTAAGTACTTTAAATCTATTGAGCGATAAAACCCTTTTTTTACCAAGTAAATTACTGCCATTAGGAGGAACTGGTTCTTGTTTTGTGCTCCACAGTTGTCACACCATAAAACTAACATTCTTCTTGTTAACAAGGCCTCAGAAGTAACAACCTTAAAGAAGCAAGATGATATATCATTGGCCCCTCGACCACCAATCCCTTCGTGCCACATACACATATATGCAAACCCATGGTTACTCACATGAATTCCCAAGTTGTAACATGAGAGCTGCCGGCAGTAAAAAATATCACTGTGTGTGAGCATTGGTACAAACATAACTTGTTGCAAGTCCATACATAAGCAGTTTTTATTACTACTTGGAAGTTGTGATGATACAATGTCTTCCTTCATAAACGCTTGTGCTTTTTCTGCTTTTTTATGATGTAACTCCTGCTTTACTTTTATGGCATTTCTGGTATTTTCACTGGCAGCTGCTTGAGTTTGGACTTTAAACACGTCACATTTCTTACAAGTGTCTGAGGCAAAACATTTGAATTTTAGTTTGGGAGAGTCTTCTTGAAAAACTTGAGCATAGTTTTTGTAAGTTACTTTAGTTGTTGGATTTTGGGCTTTGAAAGATAAAAACATACGGTTTTTGCTTAGGTCCGGGGATAGAAACTCATTTGTTGTTCTTTTACGGGAATAGTGCCTTTGATACCTGGGAAACGAATTAATGTGGTGCCGAACTATTCAATAATTTTCTGTGAATTTAATTTTATGTTCATGTGAATGTGGATTCTGACCTCTAGTATCTTTGTAAACCAAGCAACCCTGTTTCTTTTTTATTTGAAGAGTTTGTAATTTCCTGGGAGTTACTCCGAAAATCTGACGAACTGTTTTACCACACACTTGAACAGTTTTACCCGAACCATCTGGCACACTGTAAGTAAAACTGCAAGAGCGCCTACTTTCCTCTGGGTCATCGTAATTTCCAGTTGCATATGGTTTATTATGTAGGTACCTTGATTTTGTTCATTAACTTTGTAAAAATCCAGGTAACTGTCATGAGTCAAGTTTTTACAAAAGCAAGTGGCGACATCAGGGGGGTAGGTTTACCTGGTACGTTTTTTCCTTTACTAGTCGTATAAGGCTCTCCTTTTTCTCGTGCTTTCCTCCTTTCTTTTTGAAGGTGGGCTTTCTTCGGCGGAGGGGTTTGATTTTCACTTCTTTTGAAATCACAGCAAATGTAAACTTTTCACAAAACACACACTGTAACAGCAAAAGTACACAAACTATTCGCAGTATGCGAAAACGTAGGAACTACGCAACACTTGTTATTCGCGCGCGCCAGAAGCAACTACTGCAATGGGAAGGCACATTCATTATGGCGGGTGGCACTTTCAGCGGGTGCTTTTACGGTGCTGCTTCTTGCACTGCTCTAGGAACTAGTAGGAATTTTTCTGGCACTTTCATCCTTCTCTAGGTTATTGGCGATGTAGTAGTAGTCCCACTGTTTTCTCTAAATGGCGTGTAAGTCACTATTCCTCTAGATCAGTACTATCGCAACAGCCACAAAAGGGAGGATCGGCGCTTGAGGTTTTTTAGGAATTTACTAAGAGATTAAGAGAAAGGATATGATTTTGCTTAAGGAGTCTTTTTTTATAAATGTGTTTATTAGGGCTCCGTCAAATATTCGAAAAGGTTCCGTCGCCGAAAAAGTTTGAGAAACACTGCTCTAGATAATGGAAGTTTTTCGATGAAACACGTAGTATTTGTAGTTATTACTCTTTAGTTCGGTAGTGTTTTAAAATTGTCTTATCATTTTCCCAGTAAATATTTTTGGATGAAAACTGCAATAAATAAAATAAAATCTAAAAAATTTCCTCGTATTTCAACAAAAAACTCAAGGAGTTTTCGAATTATCTTTAATTTGCTCTTTGACTGGTGTATGTGAAAAAAAATCAAGATTCTAACTTAAATTTTACCAGGTATAATATAATTGGCTCACTGACGTCACACTAATGCAGTGCATAGATCTCATAATTTATAAAATTAGTTTTCTTAGTTAGTTATCTACTTTATTGAATCAGATTTTGTTTTTTTTTTTCAGATGATGACTCAATTTAAAAAATTTCATCGTGGTAACTTCGTTCCAGCTATTAATTAATTTGATTCTATATAAAAATACTGAAGTGGAATTTCTTTTGAAACGAAAATATAAAATGTTAAAAATATGGTTTGAATAGAAATTACTCTTTTATTTCTTCGATATTTAAATTGCATAATAAACCGCTATTTATTGAAAGCCGAGTTAGATTCGAATCTTGTATTGGAATTAACAATTCGCACTGCGGATAATTTTGAAAAATTTATTTGGGGATTTCCAAAGAATATTATGTATATAATTTTTTTTTTAACAATTGTGGCGTATGTGGTAGGCTAAGTATTTTTCAATACTGACCTGGTACAGTAATATAAAATTAATTTACAAAGGTATTATTAATAATCTTAACTCATTCCATTTACATGTGACGTAAAGAAAATCATAAATTTACTCGACTTTATCATAAAATAATTGGGAACGTGCTTGACAGTGGTATAGCACAAGTAGAAGTTGGAACGGCTTTTGCCAGTTCTCCCACTTTATACACATAAATTGACATGTTTGCGGCGGATCTAACCGAAGTGGACGCGATACATTGGCGTACAAAATTATTTTATAAATGATAATAACAATTTCGAGTAAATAGTTTAATAAATTGTGAATAGTTGTTGAAATTTTGTAAAATTATATTTTGAATATTATAATACATGTTTAATAATTATTTATAGTCCATATAAATACATGCGATTGTCCAGTTCCGCCGGTAACAATTTAAAAATACTTATTCTATGGAACGACACTGGCAGGTAAACATTACTGCGAAATTCTCGAAGCCGTCCGACGTGGTTTGACGTTTATCCCCTCTCTACCTACCAAAAGCCTTTACAACTTCTACTTGCGCTATACCTTTGATCTGACGTTGTACAGGTCATGGTTTTCCATAAGGATGAAGGGGTTTGTCATTATTTAAGAAACATAGGGCTTTTTTAAAACCTTAGCCACTGTAGCCACGCCTTGATTGTGGAGCATTACGTCAGTGTAAATAGCAAAATGCGTAACTCCACGTTTTCCTGAAATTCGGATTGTAACTCCATTTAGTACCAAAATGGCAGATTTACCATCTGAGAAACGCTTATTTTATTATTCATATAAATTATATTAATTTTCATAAAAACAAATTCTGTTTACATACGTTCAGGGGTTTTAATTTAAATTAGTTTTTTGGCTCTCCTGTAAATTTTTTCTAAATGGAGTTGCATACTTTGCTAATTACACTGACGATTATCAAAGTATATTATTCATAATATAAATTAATGCAGTTTTCTCAGTGTAGTTTCAATGAATAGGTAAAGTTCGAATGCATTAGTTTTCTCAGAGTACCTCTACGATGGAGCTAAGGTGGCTGGTCAGAGAACTTCAAAGTGCCGACCGTTACTTTCTTCTCTGGTGCCATTTTGGGTCATTCACAGATCCGCATTCGCAGTTTTTGATGTAACGAAATGTCCGTACAAAACATTTTATTACAATTGATAATAGCACACTTTTAAAACTATAATATTTTTGGTCTCCCATCTGAAATTGAGACTACAATAAAGTTCAACTTCAAAAGATGTTAACAAGGTTAAATGTATAAAGAAACTTGACAAAGTATAGGTAGGTACTGGGTAGTTATTCTGTGTCGCTACTACATCTTATGTTACGTCAAACACTGTTTTGACATTTTTATTAATTGAGATTTTTTATCGTATTATTCGCAAACATGAGTAGAAAAAAGAAAACCGAGCTATCCGAAGGGGAGAAGTTTCAACTGGCCTTGCAGGCTGAGCAAGAACTAGCGAGGCTATGTCGAAATGTAAGTATCTACGCAATTATTATGATTGCTATATATTTATCCCATCATCTAACTATAATAATATAATACTCTCCAGACAGATCTACTAATTCAGCCCTTTGCTTAGTTGCTGGCTGGATAGAGATATTCCTGGGCAATAAAGAGTCCGCCTTGGGTGTTTTCGGGGACATAGAAGGTGCTTTTGATAAGACGACCTTCTCCAAGATAATACACACACTAATCAACAGGAATGTTGATTAGTGGATGGATACTGGATACATAACATACTCTCAAATCGAGCAGTAAATATAAGTGTAGAAAATGTGAATATAAGAGGCTTTGTTGCGAGGGGATGTCCACAGAGAGGAGTACTATCACTTTTACTGTGGAACATGGTCTTAGACACCCTCATCAGCCGCCTCAATAATGACATCAGTCTCTATACAATAGCGTATGCTGGTCATTCTGTAAACAGGGAATTTTGAGTACATACTCTGTGAAAGAATGCAAGTCGCTCTCAAAATTATACAACAGTGGTGTAAAGACCATTCCTCAGACCATTCACTGTCTAAGAAGTCTTAAATGGCCCTTATCACAAGAAAAAATATGAAAATGGCACTAAAACCTCCAGAGCTCCTAAACACAAAACTTAACCATAGTTTATAGCTAAAGAATCAGTTAGCTCACTCGGACTAATTGGATGTTCCAAAATAACACCGACTCCAGGGATACAAATTCAGGATGCTCATAAGACTGCTGTTTGAATATAAGCGGTTGTCATATATTGTATTAAACCGAAGTGTCGGAAAAAATACAATATTCCTAACACAGAATACCTATCTATAATTTATTCTGTTTTGCAATAAAACAACTTTCACCGCATTCTTTTAGCATTGTATGATTTGATTCTGTATGCTCCAGGGATTCAAATCCGAGTTGCGCAATGTATAAACTGGAACATTGAGATCAAAAGTGCCGAGGCAGAGTAAGCGAACTGATTCTTTAGCTATAAACTGTGACTTAATTTTGCAACTGAGCTGAAGTCTCACGTTTGACAGCAAGTTAACATGGAACTCACATCTAGAAAACAGAGCAAAATAAGCATACCTTGCTTATGAACAATGCCGCCGAACCGTGGGGAGCACCTGGGTACCTCAAACTAGAACAAATTCAAAGAACAGCGTATCCCAGCATAATAGGAGCCATGAAAACCCCACCAACCATAGCCATGGAAGACATTCTTAGTCTCACTCCCCTTGATATTTACATCAAGGTAGTTGCTCAGGGTATCTATTCTTGAATCTCGGGGAGTAGAAACTTTGAGGGAAGAATGATATATAAATACAAATTTTGTGCGTTGCCGATAAAGAGGAAAAACCTGGTTTTCTACTCCCTTGAATTCAAGAATAACTACCCCTGATGACAATAACACACCTCAGTTCGGTTGGAATAGAACTTGATGTAGGATCTGGTGAGGCGAGACGTCGCTTTTGGCAGGAGGCGCTCGATACGCTCTCACTGCTTCAAGCGAATTGGACTCCATCTCATCGAGATATATTTTCCAAAACCTCGTTATCTGTGTCCATAACCATAAGCTATATAAAGTTATAACTGAACAAATAGAAAAACCGTAAGTGGCGGGTACGATTCATATCTACACCGACGGTTCTAAAACAAAACAAGGCTCAGGATGTGGAATATAGTAACATAAAATGGACGAACACTAGTTATATTTAATCATCTTGCAATATATTTTTATTAGGGTGGCCCAAAAAAGCGAATATTTTTTTTTATTTAAGTCTCCTATAAAAATATGTTAGTTTATCATGTTTTAAGATCCCCCTCCAAAGGACAGCTCAAAAAAAAATTTTGAAGGGTCGCTCCGAATTTTTAAAAAATTCAAAAATAGTCGAAAACCGGATTTTTTTTTGTTTTAAATTTTTTTTCTTATTTCATTTTTTCTATAAGAAAAATCATAAAGATCCTGAAAATTTCAAGTCTAAATTTTAATATTAAAAGGTCACTCCGAATACCCAGACAGCACACCAAATCCTTTGGATATCTACTGAACATCCCAATATCCACTGAATGTCCAGTCCATGGTGGATATCTATTTTATATCCATGAAATGTGATTTATAGACATGCAAATGTCCATAAATAATAGTAATTATATAGCAAATTATTAAAAAATTACGCCATTGTGCTCGCCATTGTGGCTAATAGTACCGTTCAGATATTTAAAATTAATTTTTTTAAGGTGTATTCAATATCCCATGAACATCCACTAAATATATCAAAGTCTAGGCGCGAACGCAAACCATCGTGGATATCCACTAGATGTAATTTTTGATTTTGCTTACTAAGTATAGATGGCAATACCACTTTCGCATCTACTCATGCTCGACCCGCCGTAATTGAGTTCGATCGAAATGTGTGTCCTAATCAGACTCCAGAGTCGAGAATTTCCATTTATTGCTGAAGAGTCCTAATAAGGATGACTTTCTCCTTAGTGGGCAAAATCAAAGGCAGAGTGTTGAAAATATTTTTTATCTCTGCTATTTTCTTTCGACGTTATTCAATAATCATTGGTTACTTATGAACCTCTACTAAAAAGACACCCATAAAATATTTTGCTGAATATCCAAATATCTTCTATATCCTGGGATATATACGGACATTTGGTTGGATATCCATATTGGATATATTGAATATCCACAAAATATATTCTGTGGATATCTCTGTGATTTCTTGTATTTTCTGGAAGATACCCATTAGATATTTTTGCTGAATATCCATTAGGATATCTTCTATATCCTGGATATAGACGGACATTTGGATATCCATATTAGATCCACGGAATATTTCTGATATCCTGTGGATATATTGGATATTCTGCGGATATCTCTGGGATTTGGTGTGTTGTACCAAAGATTAGCGCACCATCGCACCATACATTAATTGTATTACATCGATTGACATCCACTTAACCATATCGCCTATCAGTCATCGACATCGATCATCGAGGCATCTTCGGCATGTAGGTACACTCCCTTAGACTACCAAGCAAAATGTGCGGCAGGTGTTGCGCAAACTTTTCTTTTTATGCCAAGATAAGTAGCTGGTATTGAATATATAAGCTATAACTACTTTGATTAATCTATAGGTAGATGTAGAATGGTTTTTCTGTAGATAAGATCTGTTGAATTGTTCAGCCAGTCATTAAATTTTATCAACTCACATAACGAATTGTAAACAAGCCAATATTTAGCAACATTTCTCTCTCATAAATAAACAACTTTTTCCTCAGTTAATTTTATCTCGATCTCTTCCCTTTACGATAATCCAATAGTGTTCCTGTTTTCCCAATTATAGTACACCATGCTCGAACGAAACAGATACCAAAAAGGAGACAAAGGAGGCAAACTGATGAAACAAAAGAAGGTCTTAGACATCTTCAGAGGCGAGCAAAAAGAACTTATGACCGATCTAACGGTTGCAGGAGCTGGTGCAAGAGTGTTTGAAGATGATAAAAATTGTGAGAAAATAACTGATTTGCTCTCAGAATGTGATAAATTAGACGAAGAAATCAAGCTCCAAGAATTTCATTTGGAAGAAATTGAGGGTCAAATGAATTTAAATAAGAAAAAGGTAAATCGGTGTTTGAAAGAGATTAATGTTTGTCATTGGTAGATGTATAATCTTAATTTGATTTTAGCTTATTGATTTGACAGCTAAACAAGTTACCGATGAAAAACATTATCAAAGAGTACTCAAAGGAGAGAAGACAGTGGAAATTTTAGACAACAAACTAGAGGTGCAAATAAAAAAGTTTTGCCAAATATCAGCTGGCAATATCAATCTTAGAGAAGAAATACGCTATTTATTGCACGAGAGGTAAGATTGACGGATCTATAGTTGTAACTATCTAGTTTGTCATTTTATTCTTCGTCTTCTTCTGCGCAAGTAGAAATATATAGGTTACCATGGCATGCCTTAAAACATTGAGTATTAGACATTCCAAACAAAATGGTTGCTTGATGAAGATGACACAAAAACCGCAATTTTACATAGAGGTCAGTGTTCTGCGTTCTATGATTGTGTTAATACGCCCTTGATTGCAATTAGGTATTAGGCATTCCAAACAAATGAATTACCAGTGGGCAGGTTTGGTATATCTAAGGGTGGCGACATATGGTATATTCTATCTACTTTACGTAAAATCATGAATAATGGATTACATTTAAATATTTTATGTCAAACACAATAAAAATAATATTTAAAAACCTACCTATACATTTCTTCATAAATTGGCAGGCTTGGCGACTACTACTTCGAATAAAAATAGCGTCCAAGTTGCAAGACTATGTCGCTACCCCCTTAGATATACAAGAATTTCCCACTGGCACATATTGTTTGACAGGTCGTTGGAATGCCTAATTCCAAACAAAATAGCTACCAGTGGGTTTTGACAGGTTATGATATGGCAACATTATGGCAACCCTGTAAGCCTAGTGATTTGACAGGCTCAACGACATAGACAGTTATATAGATAGGTCATCCATGTTTTTCAAAATTAACATAATTTTATGCCTTGAAGTAAAAATGTAGGTAATTATTTTTTTACTATATTCAAAGGCTGATAATTGGTTTTAAAACACATTTTTGCTAGACTGATTCTGATTAATGAACACTTTGGAGGCAATATGGCCGCTCGCAAAAGGACCCGCTTTGAGAAATCTATACAATAATATGTATATCATTGACCCTATAAATAACAGCTAGCAGCTAGCCATAGGGTTGCCATATCTAAACGTCAGTTCCCACTTGTCAGCATTTTGACAGGTCGTTGGAATGCCTAATTGTATGTCTAATTCAAAAAAGCAACCTTGTAAAAAGAGCAACTCTATAATTTTTTACAAAAACACCTTGACAGATTAGTAATCATCTTCCAACATCTTCCGTCAAATTCATCAGGCACCCATTGGAAATGCCTAGTTGTACTAGGCATCTTTAACGGTTGCTGCCAGACTTGTAGAGGTACTTACCTAAATTAGGACCCACTCTACCCCTAGTTGCCTTTTTCCTACAATCCCCTCTCCTCCCAATTCTGTGAGAAATTATCGCTTACTTTTCTAAATATATCTACACTCTTCAATTGCTGCTAGTATTCTAGTATGCACTAATTGAGAGGATGTAGGTCACGCTGCCTGATTCCGCATCGCCAATCCTAGTATTTTTACTAATCATAAAAATAGAGGCTTGATTGGTAGTTTCTCATACTGGAGTGTATATTTTTTTCAGAGAAGAATTTAACAAGTTATGGGATAACCTCATTAACAACTTATGCGTTGGAAGAAAATTCATGCTGGAATTGATCGAACAAGCGACAATAGCGTACGACCAAAGAGAAGATTGGGTCAATAAATTAACAATGCTGAGACAAAAGGCCCATCACGATCTGGTAAATCACATTGTCGAAATACGTACAATGCAGCGGAAAATCGACGACGACATCAAGCTCCAAGAATTCTTCTCCATCAAAAATCAAAAAAGAAAAATGAGCGATCTGGAGGAGAAGGAAAAACGGAAGCGGAAGCTGAATAAAGATAATATGGAAAAGAAACTGGAAAGGTACCTGCAGATATTGATAACGATCAAAGAGTTCACGGGAGAGGGGCGAGTTAATGTAATTGCGAATAATTTCGTGATCCAAGAGGAGGAGAATTTTGCCATGTTCAAATACATCAACCATTTGAACGGGGAAATGGAGAACATTACCGATCGATTGGCGGATTTGCATAAGAAAATTGACGATCAAAAGGAGCTAAACGAAGTGCGCCGTAGTGAACAGGAACATAAGTTGGAAGGCTTACAAGAGGAATATAAAAAGGTGAAGGCGATAACTGAGGCCAAACAGGAGGAATTAAAAGATGTCAATGATACGCTAAAGACCATTTTAGCTGGCATCAGTGTTCTGTTCAAGATGTTCGGCTGCAAGAATGATCCTTTAGTGAGAATGCTAGGTAAAATATGATTTTTTTTCTACGCCCATGTCATTAAACGTTAAAAATCACACTATCAACATTCCTTGTAAATGACATTTACCAATAACATGCACGTAATGAGATTTCATAACATACACGTTCGTTTTGATAAGAAAACTTAAATTTCTTGGTTTAATCAAATTGCAATCAAATTTTTGTCTACGTAAGACTTTACCCAGACTACACCAAATCCCAGAGATATCCACATAATATCTTTTGTGGATATCCAATATATCCACAGGATATCAAAAATATTCCGTGGATCTAATATGGATATCCAAATGTCCGTCTATATCCAGAATATAGAAGATATCCTATGGATTATCCAGCAAAATATCTAATGGGTATCTTCCAGAAAATACGAGAAATCTCAGAGATATCCACAGAATATATTTTGTGGATATTCAATATGGATATATCTGAACGGTACTATTAGCCATAATGGCGAACACAATGGCGTAATTTTTAAATAATTTGCTATATAATTACTATTATTTATGGACATTTGCATGTCTATAAATTACATCTCATGGATATAAAATAGATATCCACCATGGAGTGGACATTCAGTGAATATTGGGATGTTCAGTAGATATCCAAAGGATTTGGTGTGCTGTCTGGGTATGTGGTCTATTTACATAAATTTGCTCATTTAAAAAACATAAAAACTTTTAGCATTAGCGAGATACATTTTGGATTAAAAGAGTGATGTCCCTAAATGTCGGCAATACTCGTATATACAATATTTTAAAAAATATGTCGCGTTTTCTTAGCATGCTATAGAAATAAACGTCATGCCATTTATATTGTCAACTTTTGTAACAAAATATGATTGTATCCGAACATTTTCTCAACTTTACCTACGAATATGTTTGTTAGCAGTGAAAGTGATGAAATTATGAGCACTGCACCGGAGATTTTAGAAAAAGCTCAAGCTGCCACACATAATGTGTTACCGCTAAAATCCAAAGAAAGGTACGAAATTACCTATCGAAAATTTATGGATTGGCGACACAAGCATAACGTTAAATCCTTTTTTGAGAATGTTTTAAGTGGGCGTAGAAAAAGTATAGTGCGTTACAATTACGCACTCGCGAAATTTTTATATACTTTTTCCTTCCTTAACAACTCTTGTTACATAATATACTATTCCTTTTATGGAAAAAGACATTGAGAATGTTTGATCTACCAATTTCAAAATAATCAAATAATGGGTTTTTATATTTTAGGGCATAACCAAACAGTTAATAATAATAATGCTTTATTATATTTGGAAATTTTGGAAAGAAATATTGTGGAAGCTATGCTTGGTAATTACTACAAAGAAAAAGTTTTAGTAAGTATGAAAAATCAAATGTCAGAGAAACGCAAACTAGTTACTTTACGCACGCTTATATCACTTTAGGCGCGCTTATGTTGCTTTACGAACGCTTATGTCACTTTAAGCATGCTCTTATATCACTTTTTCTACGCCCATGTCAGTAAACGTTAAAAATCGCACTGTCAACATTCCGTGTAAATGACATTTAACAATAACATGCACGTAATGAGATCTCATAAAATACACGTACGTTTTGATAAGAAAACTTAAATTTCTTAGTTTAATCAAATTTTAATCTACGTTCGACTTTATGTGGTCTATTTACATAAATTTAGTGAATTGAAAAACATAAAAACTTTTAGTTTTAACGAGATACATTTTGAATTAAAAAAGTGATGTCCCTAAAATGTCGGCAACACATTATACATTATACAAAATATTGTATTCGAACATTTTCTTAACTTTACCTATGAATATATATATTATCTGTTAGTAGTGAAAGTCATGAAATTATGAGCACTCCACCAGAGATTTTAGAAAAAGCTCAAGCTGCCACACATAATTTGTTACCGCTAAAATCCAAAAAAGGTACGAAATTACCTATGGAAAATGTATGGATTGGCGACACAAGCATATGTCCTTTATTTAATAGAAGAAAATAAGTGGGCGTAGAAAAAGTATAGTACGTTACACGAGTTGTAAGCCCATTACGCACTCGCGAAATTCGCGCACTCGCCGCTGCGCGGCTTCGTGCATAATGGGTTACAACTCTTGTTACATAATATACTATTACGCACGCTTATGTTACTTTACCGTATGCACATCTGTCACTTTTTCGAATTATTATGAGAAATGTTTAACTTTGCGAATGGTAATTAATGCGGAAACGCGTTTTTTAAATAGAAAAAAAATATTTCCCCCTATACTATACATGGTGAAAGTTAATAGTGTTTTAACTGTGTATAGAAGTCGTTAAAATAAACGTCTTTTTCAAATAATTTTATTCAAAAAAATCAAAAATTAGAAAGATATAGAATTTAAAAATCGAAATCCGGACCTGGACTTGTGTAAGAAAAGTATGTACATGTTTTTATCTTTCAATCTTTATTTTGGGTTTTCTTATGAATCAACGCTTCATTGTGTACCGGTTATTGTGATTCAGTCGCGTGTGATTTTAGTACCTTGTTTATGTGAAGTAGTAATATAATTTGTTCAGTGTGGTCAATTATGACAAGTGCGTTTAAAAGAACGCATTTTAAATGTTATCGAGGTAGATCCAACAACAAATACTCGGGTGATTGTAGATCAGGGTATCTATTCTTGAATCTCAGGGAATAAACATTTTGAGGGAAGACTAATACAAAAATACAAATTTTTTGCGTTGCAGATAAAGAGGAGAATCCAGTTTTCTATTCCCTCGAATTCAAGAATAGCTACCCATGTGGGAGTAAGTAAACGAAAAGTGTGGATAATATTGAGGGAAAATCAATTGCATTCCTTTCACGTTCAAATTGTTCGAGCACTACAACTTAAAGATTTCCCCCTCAGATTTCAGTTTTGTGAAAGGTTCTTAGAACGGCATGAATGTGACCAACATTTTTTGACGAAGTCGAAAGTTAGTGGTTGAAAAGCGAGTAGTTTTTGAAATCTATATTCTTGACTGCCGTTCGATGAGCATTCGTTTTTTAAGACGTGTACATTTTTAACAAGCAAATAATATTTTTGGCATCATTGTAAACTGTCTATATCATTGAAGTAATGTGCAGGCCTTAAAAAAAAAGGATTATGTAATTTAATTACAACAAACCAATTTATCGAATGACGATTTTTTCTAATCACATACTATATAAATTTTCAGGATATTTGGCGGAAAAATAGCTATACGGGTGCAGTCAATGCAACCTATAATTCCACGAAAATCGTACATCATGAAAAACCTAGTTTTTATGGTACAAAATTAATTTAAATAATTTTGCTTATCTCATTCAGTTCTTTAATATTTTGTGGCAATTTTATAAAATTGTTAAAATTTTTGGACACAACGTGTGTGTGATACAGAAGAGCTTTGAAACTACCACTTACAAGAAACTGCAAGCAAATTAATATCTGTAAATAAAACATCAGCTATTATAATTTTTTAGTACTGCAAACCATATTTATAAGAAATTAGATACTTATGTAGGTATCAATAAAAAGTAGTTTACCTAGAATTTGCTAAAATCAGGCAATATTATTAATCATCCTAAAAGTGACATAAAAGTGACATTGGCTAAATCCTTGAAAATATGCACGTTTTATCAAAAAAGTGTGAAAAATTCCCCTCGCTGTAAAACACCCGTTTTAAAATCGTACACGCTTTTAAAACGAATGTCGAGAATAGCTCACATCTTGCTAAAGCGTATGTTTTTTAGAAAACGATAGCCGAGGATAAGGTCCCTGGTCTGTTTAGAAAACGTACCATTGAACATCAGGCAGTATATGTGGCTTCTGCAAGATGGTACACCTGTCTATTTTAGACGGAAGTAGTGGAGTATTTACACATTACTTTCCTGCGAGAATAGATGGTTTGGTCGAAATAATCACGTTGCGTGGCCACCGAGGTCACCAGACCTAAATCCTTGCGATTTTTTGTGGGGTCACTTGAAAAGTTTAATCTAAAAGACGCCAGTAAATCAATTGCACGCATAAAACAGGCTGCAGAAACAATTAGAGGGAAACCAGTTTATCTATTACGCGCCGTTACGAAGCAGTGGTTACGTCGAGCAGAGCGTTGTATTGAAGTAAACAGTGACAACTTTGAACATATTATTTAAGTTAGACAGGACCGTATTAGATACATTTTGAAATAAATTAATGTTAACTTTCTTATTCTCGAGTTTTTTTTTGAAAAATTTATTTTAGAAAAATTATTTACTTTAATGACTTCTATACACAATTAAAAATAGGATCAACTTTAGGATTCACCCTGTATCGTATACTGAAAAATATGCAATTTTATATTCTAGGAACACAAGACTGCTTCTAGGGACATCATGACTATGGTTGAAGAGAAAATGCCTCCTTTGATAGAACCAGTAGACAGAATTGTTCCGACCAGTCCATGTGCTCTGTGAGTAGTTTTAACATTTTATTCATTTCCAAAGTTAGAGAATTAACTGCAGCACTCGTCCTTTTACTGTGATATTCGATACCTATTCTACCTTTGGCACATAATGTTGTTATTTTATGTAGTCTAATTCACAAAACATCTTTAAATTCACCCACATTTAAAACCTTAAAAATAGAAACGTTCATAAAATGTTTTCCAGAACATATTAAAGAATATTTAATTTATAGATGTTTAAAAAAAACATAACCTTACTTTTAATTTTATTGAAAAATCACGTTATGCCCAATTCTACTTTTTCTCTGAATTGCTGTTTCTATTATGAAGACACTAGAGAGAAGGAGGCGAATCGGCAATGGTCAAATTTCAAATTTCCATTCTTCTTTTTATAAAGTTCGCTAAACTGACTGTAGTTGGCGGGTCTAACATTTGTGACGTTCTTTTTCTATGTAAGTTAAAGTGAAATAGTGTTTTTTTTAATTGGTGAAAATAATCAAAATAATGTGAAAAAAGAACCTAAGTACAAGTAACATGAGTGACAAAAAACATCAAAGGAAGATTTACTTTCGTTCCAGGTCGTAAAACGGGATATAAATCAGATGTAACTAAAGAAAAGTCTTTTTAAAGCTCCTACTGTATTGTAAACTGGTATCTTACGAAGTGAAGTTTAATTTAACTCACTAGAAAAGTAAATTTGTTTTTTATAGGATCCTAAACGTTTAGAATGGTGACAGCTTATTATTCCTGACTGATAAAGGACTTTCTAGAGCTGTTTGCTAGCTACACTTTTCAGAAGATATTTCCAAATATTATGAGACTATTTTTACTGATGGTACTGTTAGCAAAATGAAAAGGGGAGGGCGAAAATTAAAGGATGAGGCAATACCATGTACATTTCCAAATCTCCCTTTATAACAATAAAAAATCTGTTAAAAAAATTAGCAACAAAATTTTACTTAGTTAGGTACCAAATTTTACCATTTAACAAATCTTTTTGGATGGTCATACCTACCTAATTTGCATTTTATATAGATAAAATTAAATTATTTCCCAATTAAAACATGCAAGACTTATTTAGTAATAAACAAGTTTATTTTTATTAGTTTTAAAAAATTATGTAAAATTCTCATAAGCCGCATGCATTTTTAACAGCACTAACAACACCAAGGCCCCTGCGGTGTACTTTAAAAGCTCAAGTAGCGTTCGTTTTTTGGGACTGTATTTTGAGTATGCGATTCTCCTCCTTATCTCTAGGCTTCATAGTCTCTATAAGAATTTATAGGTAAGTTAACTGTTTAAAAATACTTTGCGAATACGGATTATAAAATTACCATTTGGGAACGCGAGACCGAGGCAGGAGGCAAAGGCAATAAGCGAGCGATGCACTTCATTTTTAATATAAAGACTATCACAAACTATCACACACTATAAGAAATAAACAAATTTAATGCTCACAAGTAAGAAAAAATTCGCATTTTAATTGATACAAATTAAAATATAAACAGCGAACACGAACGCCAATGTTGCCAACTGTTGAAATGATTTTAAAACAAAATTGATAAATGAACTGAAATAAAAGAAATATTCGGTTTTATAAAAATCCTTAAATAAATATAGAGTATGAGTACATATTACTAGATATAACTTTCACTATTAAAAAAAAGTCTCTACTTCTTCAAGGGCTAAAAATTCGATGACGTAGGTAGCGAAATTCCGTTACTACTGGTAACACTGAAAGAACTGCTACCAGTGAACTGTATACTTAAAATATACAGTTCAGTGACTGCTACTCATAGACACCTTTTACAAATTTCTTCCAGGGGGTCAATTCTCGACTTGTAGGAACCTTTGCCTATTAGGCATTCCAAACAAATGAATTACCAGTGGGCAGGTTTGGTATATCTAAGGGTGGCGACATATGGTGTATTCTATCTACTTTACGTAAAATCATGAATAATGGATTACATTTAAATATTTTATGTCGAACACAATAAAAATAATATTTAAAAAACCCACCTATACATTTCTTCATAAATTGGCAGGCTTGGCGAGTACTACTTCGAATAAAAATAGTGTCCAAGTTGCAAGACTATGTCGCTACCCCCTTAGATATACAAGAATTTCCCACTGGCACCTATTGTTTGACAGGTCGTTGGAATGCCTAATAGGAATTTGTGACACTTTCCTATATGTAGGAAAATGTCATAAATTTTCGATGTATATAAAAATGTCAAAAATTCCTATAGGAAAATATTCCTACGAGTCGAGAATCGACCCCCAGAGGGCGAATCATTTAGCTTGAATCGCAAAGCTAATCTGTCAAGTAATCCTACAGGTTATTTTACACCTAGCCTCTAAATAGTAACTTTACCCTTGTGCAATATTCGGCGGGATATGCGTCAGTTAGCAAAATTATTATCTATTTTGTTCTACTTACTGTTTCTCTTCCATTTTATATATTATTGGCTCTTACAAAGTTTTCACATAAAGCCAATAAAGTTACAACTCGCCACACCCAAATAAACATGAAATGAAAATTATATGACGCTTTTGACAACCAACGCATGTTGTGTAACATTTGTTCCGACCGATATACCAACATAGTAAAATTAATCGAATCGAACAGTCCATAAACATCGTAGTGCCGGTCCGGCAAACATGATGTAATTTAAAATGTTATTATTCGCTCAGGTGAAAAAATGTGCTTAAAAAGCGCGTAAGAAAAGTATGATTGAAATAACATTAATGTCCACATAATATGCAGTAAGAAAGTGCCAATGATTGTAAATATGGCCCTAAACGTTAAACTAAACTGCTTATTATGCAATGTTTAATTGCCGTATTTTTGTACCTTAATTTGCTGGGTACGTTTAATGTGGTTTAACTTTAACTCAGAGATGAAAAGATCTGCCTTTATACAGGGTATTTGTTAATAAGTGCGAAATATTTAAGGGGGTGGTTGCCGAAGTTTAGAAGAAAGTATAAACGTAGGTCGAAATATGCTTCGTTTCCGAGATACAGAGTGTTTAAATTTAAATTTTTTATTTATTTTTATTATTTCAAAGAGATTTAAAGATATTGACTTGAAATTTGCAAAACGCTTTGAAAGAAGAAATATGAATTTTTTGGAGTGGTCCGGATGTTTCTACTTGCACCAGTGGTGTTCGTGCGAAATGCCACAATTTTTTTTTAATAAAAAAAATCGTGTGCCAGTAACTTTTGCCTGGCGAATTTTTTAACAGAATAACTTTTGCAACCACCGCTTAAAATTTTTCGCACTTATTTACAAACACGTAGTGGAATTATTATTTTCCTATGGTTAAATTCATACTAACATTTATGTACTTTTATTCTAAGGAAATTGTTTATATTTTTAGATGTGTCGAACACGATCAAGTTCTTGATGTAATTGACATTTTGCAAATTGCAATGACAAAGGAAGAAGCTCAAGCGAGATTGAAAGACAGACCGCAAGAAGCCGAAACTTGTATGCACAATGTGTCAGCATGTCATTTGCCGAAATCCAGACAAATTATACAAAAAAGATATCAGTAAAAATGTATTATATACAAAATATATTGTTTGATTTATTTAAAAAGTACCCTATCATAATACAGAGAAGGTGTCCGGAATCACAGTTTACGAAAACTTAATCCCTACATCAAGATATCACAAAAATACAAATAAGAATAAAATTACATAGCTTCACAGAACCCAATAGATACTAGTAAATAAATAATAAAAATATCTGATGTGTCCAACACATGACTTTCCTATCTAGTTAATATTACAGGCTTTTTCCGGTTATTTTGTACAACCTATTGTAGCACCTCTGTAAATGTTTAGAGGATAAACTAAATATATACATTTTCTACATACATTGCCAACGAAAATATGGAAACATTTAAATTTTACACTTTTCCTCCAATTTTTCCATTACGATCCACTTTAGAGAAATCATGTAAAACACAAAAATTATAGAGACCGATATCGCAAAACGGATTCAGGGAACCCCAAAACGTAAAAATCCGTCGAAAACTCGAGGTCGAGAAAATCATGATTCCTATACTTTCCTTAACTGTACACAGATAGGAAAGTAATAAAAAAGTTGATAAGACTCTTCAGACATACTTATTGTAAAATATATTGCCTAACTTAAGGTACCTCAACATAGTCGATTTTCGTATTCCAATTTTGATCGAGTTTCTGTAGGAAGATAAATATATTATTGTTTTTATGTTTAAATGATGGAAGGAAATTGACAGATAAAATAGCTATAAGTACAAGGTTTTTAAAAAAGATGTAGGAAATAAAAATTCAAAATTATTCTTACATATCTGCATAACAAAAAAACGTTGATAATCTGACAAATGACAACTGACATATGTTCCGTGGGTGATGTGGCGAAAGTTGACGTCACACGTCACCGGTCCATACAAAAGGGCGACGCCATTTTAAATGTTTGATTGTGGCTAGCTGTCAGTTTAGAGAAAAAAATTGTCATTTTATTGAAAACCCAAAAAACGTTTTGATAAGTAGATTGGAAAGTGTATAAATTTTATTTTGTGTTTTGTTGCAAAATAAAAGCAACATGACGCAGCAACTGTTACCGATCAAGTTTCAAGAACATTTGCAGGTAAAAAAACAAAACGCCCCTTACCTACTTTGATCTCCATTTTTACATTTAAACAACAGTTTTTTCTGATATTGTCCAAGCTAGTTTTTCTTTCAATATATCTATAAAGTCAATCATTTGATTTTATTATAAAATATTGGTCGAGAAAGTACCGGTACTTTCTTTTAAATCATGTGGGGGCGGATTATATTCACTGCTTTTTATTATTAAAGGCTCTTCTAACATCTTTTCGTTGAACTCTCTTAACATGTTTACGTTCTATTTATAGTTAAAGTATGTGGTATTTGTTTAAAAAGAAGCTTTTATTCTAGATGTAAATTATTAAAAAAAATTCTCAGAAATTTGTACTGATTACCTGTATGACATGACTAATTTGACTATTTGGCTATTCAGTGAAACATTGAAATAGTTAAATATATTTAATTGACTATGCAAATTGATTTTGTCTCTTAGCTTAACTGGATATACCTGAATTTATCAATAAATTTATTAGGTCACACAAGTATGATTAGAGCATATTGTAGATACACTAGTTTGCTAAAATGTTAGTGATCTACTTATTGATTGATTTTGCAGTTTAGAAACAATGATAGTTATTTTTATGTATCAAGAGAAAAATAATGTCAATTAGTAGTTATTGGATTAATTTCTTTTTTTTGCAAAGCATTAATTTATTTCTAGAATTCTATATTTTTCTCCAAATAGATAAAATGATACCTACTTTTGATTATAATGATATATCATTCATATAACTAGTGGCAGAATATTGTTTTCTATGCTTCACTTTAAATCCAATGATGGGTATGTTTCTGCTGAGATATGGTTACATTAAAGTCAAATAAAAAGTTTATCAAAAGAGGTGGCATCTTTCCTTTAAATAACTATATTCCCACTATTTCATGCTCTCTAACATTTTTATATCAAATATATTAGTCAAATGAAATGACTAATTGAGTTGGACTTATCAATATTATATTAGTTGCCAATTGTTTTTGAACTGTGGGTTTCACCTATTTATCTATCTTCTCGTTTAGATCAGCATTAATAATAACAATACTACTCATTATTCAATCACATAATATATTTGTCCTTAGACAAAATATATTAATCAAATAAATAGATTCTAATAAATACAGATGATAACTACAATTAAAGATAATTTTACAAATGTAAACTATTAAATGTAAAATATTTTAACTAATAATGTAATTAATATCTCTAGTGTTATTACTTTGAAGAGCATGTCTTCAGACTATTTATATGAGTAGGGTTGCCACCTTTTTGAAAAGTGAATAAAGGACTTTTAAAATTTTCTTGATAGTACTGGTTTTATGAATGGGAGTGGGGCGGTCATGCAGGGTATCACGGTAAACCAATAAAAATGCACTGCAGGGTGTTTTTTTTTTACTTTTAAATAACTTAGGTCTTAATTAGGTAGTTATACCATGAATTAATAAATCAATATATAACTAAAAAAATTGCTTTAAGATGTGGTTTAGCTTGTGCGTCTGCTATATGCAGCAATCGGAGGGTCTAATGCATAGACTACTACTTAAAACAAAATTATGAAGTGGTTTAATATGTGCGACGCCAGCAGCAGATGCTTAAAGGGAACCATAATACCTTTAGAGAAAAACGCACACATGTAGAATGATGAAGTGCTTTCGGAAAAACAGAACTAGGACTGAATTTCTGTTTCTGGGAGCGCGCGGGCCGCGCCAGTGCTGCTACAAATAAGTTAATCCTGAAAAATTGTGATACTTATTGTAATATAGTTTTAAAAAATAACATTTTAAGATTTAAAAAGTCACAAGGACAATTTGTTTGAAAAAAAGACAGGTGGCAACCCTATATATGAGAGAAACGTAACATGTCTTCTGAGTAGATATATGAGAGAAACAAAACATGCCTTCTGAGTAGATATATCAGATAAACAAGCAGTTCTTTTTTATTCGTAAATCAACTGAATATTCTTGCATTATTTCTAATGATTCACTGGGTATCTAGATTGTTTATTATTTGTTTCTTCTTCAACCCCAATCTGAGAAAAATTGTTACATTTTTGCAAAAGAATGTTTTGGATAAATATTTTGAATTGATTTAATGGGCCTAAATAAGAATCATCTATTTTTAAAAGTAATTTTAACCCATAAGATGATGGATAGAACTTATTTCTGCCAATGTTATGTATTAATGTGTTATTTTATTTTGGTCATAATGAAGTTATTGACCCTCGATATATGTACTCTGATATATTTAGAAATATCGTTTAATGCACTCTAGTCTATAATTGTCATTCATTACCATTTATTGTTTATTCATCATCAGGATGTCACAGAAGGCAGTAGAGCACCTGGGGAATTTTAAGTTTTTTGAGGCTGTTTTAAATCTATTTTTATGCCTTATTCAAAAATTTTATGCGCCTCGTTTTTTACAAAAATCAAGATCCTCTGCTAGCTTCGAACGAGGTGTATTTTGAAGTTTTTTTTTTTTTTAAACAAGCACATTGTATTTTTAGGCTATTTATAAGCTCTTGAAATATAAAACGTTTCAAAAAAATATGATTTGTCCAACACATGACTTTCCTATCTAGTTATAGGCTTTTTCAGGTTATTTTGTTCAACCTATTGCAACACCTCTATAAATGTTTAGAGGATAAACTATATATATATATATTTTCCACATACATCTACCTCGAAACATTTTTCCATAGAATTTCATTGAAAACGAAAATACTGAAAAATTTTAATATAGCACCTTTCCTACAATTTTTCCATTACGGGACATTTTAGAAAAATCATGTATAAACAAAAATTATAGAGATCGATATCGCAAACAACTTTTAGTTCAACAATTTTCATAAAAATCAGAATTTTGCACATTTTGTCAAATTTCTTGAATACGGACCATTTCAGGAAATTTTGACATAAAACAGAAATTATAGATAATAATATTAGAAGTAACTTTTATTTTAACAATTTTTTTCTCCAAACATAAATAACAGATATATTCCATAAAATATAAAAACGGCCTCCCATAAAGTACCCCCCCAGATGTTCCGAATTTGTCCAAAATCTGATCATTTTACGTCAGGCCGAAGTAAAACTTAAGTTTAAAATTAAATGTTTTTTTATCCGTTTTTGAGTTTTCTTCAAATTTTAAAATTTACAATTTTCTCAAATTTCTCGAATACGGTCCATTTTACAGAAATTATGTATAGGATAAAAATTATAGAGAATTATATTACAAACAACTATTATTTGAACAATTTTTATAAGAAAATATTTTTTTACATTTTGTCAAATTTCTCGAATACGGACCATTTTAGGAAAATTTTGTATAGAATAAAAATTATAGATAATATAAGAAGTAACTTTTATTTAAAGAAATTTCTTCCCCAAACGTAAATAACAGATATATTCCATAAAATATAAAAATGACCACCTATAAATTACCCCCCCCCCAGATGTTCCGACTCTGCTCAAAATCTAATTAGCTCATTGGACGCTGGAACAAAATTTGGTGTTTTTCTGTGTATCGTTTCATGAGTTATGCGACACACAGACACACACACACAGACATCATCGCGAAAATAGTCAAAACGGATTCAGGGGACCTCAAAACGTAAAAATCCGTCGAAAACTCGAGGTCGAAAAAAATCATGATTCCTATACTTTTCTTATATCTGTATACAGATAGGAAAGTAAAAATGGTATTTTTAAAAAATACGGGGTACTTTGCTGGCATTAAAGTTTTTTTTTTTTTTTTTTTTTTTTTTTCTAAAAACAATACACCACCACATTTTTAGGCTCTTAAAATATAAAGGATTCCAAAACAAATTGCTATTTTAAAAACATGGGAAACGTTGCCTGTGGAACACCTCTGTTTTTTAAGGTTTTATTAAAAATAACCACACCACATTCTTAAGCTACTTTAGACTTTTGAAATATAAAACATTCTGAAAAAGTTTGCTATAAGTCTCATTTTTGTGAAATATTTTATAATACTATAATACTAGCCTAAAAATGTGGCATAGTTGTTTTTTAGAAAAAATTCTTAAGAAACTTAGGTGCTCTTCTGGCGTTGTTCCATTTTTAAAAATGGCAAATCTCTTTGAAATGTTTTTATACGAGGTGTATCTTAAATAATGTCATTAATTTCAGGTAGTGATTCCTTGTTATATTTCATGAAAAAAAGGTCATATAAACATGTATCCTAACTTACTTTGTTTCTGTGTAACAGAGTCAAAAGTTTAATAAAAAATTTATTTTTCATAAATTACTGAAATTACTGCTAACAAACACCAAGTTTCATCAAAATCGGCGAAAAGGCTATGAGTTGTTAATAAAAAACTTTTTTTTTTCCTAATGGCACCTCGTTACTCGGAAACGAAGGTAATTAGGATGGATGCACGTTTATATGAACTTTTTTTCATAAAAAATGACAAGGAATCGCTACCTAAAATTAATGACAATTTCTGGTATATTTCAAGAGCCTAAAAATCGGATCTGGTTGTTCTTATAAAAATCAAAATGTGGTGCTTTGCTGGGTTGAAAATGAGTGCGATGAACCCAGATAGGTAGGTCTATTGTGGCTTGGTACTTTGCTGGGTTCGAAAATGTGGTGTGTTTGTTTTTAGAAAAAAATTGAAAAACCGATGTGTAGGTGTTGTAAAAAAGGAGGAGCATAAAATTTTTGAATAGGTAAGGTATAAAAATAGCCTTAAATTCCTCAATTTGGAGCAAAACCGAATAAATCCACTTTTTATGAAAATTAAGTTAATGGCGGGTTTCAACTGACTTTGTTAAATTACGTCTTTATAGACTACCTGTCTGAACAAAACCGAATAAATCTTTGTAAAATTCAGGGTCGAAATTGATGCTTTTGTGCAAAATCGAATAAATCCACTAGTAAAGTGGTGTAAACAACACATCGGCAGTCGCTTTAGTTTAAAAGCCGTTTGTAAGAGATATTTCTTTTTTTTGGTTTGTTTTTCCTTT